TCAGAAATCCCTGAGATGATTTCCATCTTTGCATCAGCTTTCCCACTTCTGACGGAGTTTTTCTCCCTACTTGTCCTCTTGCAGCACACAGCAGCTCCATCTTGAGCCAGGATCCAAGAATAACCACTGCCATCTGCCTGTGCAGCTGACATGGTCATACCCTGTTGTTTCAGAACCTTAGTTTGACATCAGCATCTTTTGTAAATGAGCTGCACCTCATGCTTCCCCTCCAGAATGTCCAATTTATGTCATTGAATTTCTCCATTTCCCCTTCCTGCCCTGTTTCATCTCCCACAGGAACTTGCAGCCATCTCAGGCTGCTGTGTCATAAGAACCTGATGCCCTAATGTATATAAAAACCTTTCAATATCTCAAGTATGAATCACTTCAACAGGAAATAAAAAATCCTTTAAAAATCAAAGCTACAAAGCCAAAGGACAGTATCAAGGAGCAGGAAGGTGGTGAGGTATTTAATTGTCTTCATAATCAAAGCACTGCCCTTAGCATGCTGCCCAACACAGTAAACAGAAATGGTTCAGCTGCATTCCTAAAGACATTTTCACTTGAGGCTCTAGGAAATGCTCAGCACTCCTTTTGGGAAACACAAAGAAAAATCACCAATAAATAAATTAGTTTTAGATTTTCAGACAGTGACTTAGTGCCAGGTTTACAATGCCAACTGCATAAATTTATCTCCCTAAGGAGATAAATTAATATAACTGCATACATTTATCTCCCTAAGGCACCCACTATACACAATCAAATTGCCATCATTTACATTCCTCCTCAAATACCACCTTTATTTCTTATAAAGCCTGCACAAACCACTCTGACACAGATGACATGTAAAAATTCATTTTATTGGTGTCATTGTTGAAGGTTTTGCTTGCACTGAACATGCTCAGCAGTACCAGCACCTCAGCAGAATGTGCCTGCTATGGAACCCTGCCCAGGAACCAGCAATGCCACAAGCCAGGTAACACTCGTGAGGTGTCACCACATGCAAGGTGCAATGAATGCTCTCCCTCATCCAGGGTCACCTGTTCTGCCCACAAACATGAACTGGACTCCACAGCCACAGTGTGCAGCAGCTCAGTGCAAGTTCTGCTACCAAGAAAACACATTGGCATGTAGTGGCCACAGAGCTGTTACAGACAACAAAACAGTGCAGGTGCCTCTCATTTCCTATTTCTGAGTACACAGGGATGGACACAGGCTGGGATGGGCAGAGACAGCAACAGCTCCTGAGGAAGAGATGATCCCAGTGGGAAATCTGGCATAGGTTGGAATCCATCTGCACAGCACCTGGCTGGTGCAGAAACTGAAATGAGGTAAGACAGGAGGAACACTACAAAGGTACCAAAGGAGGACTCAGTGAGCGGGAAATCAGCACTATCACCATCGTTTGCAATAGGAAAGGAGAGGCAAAAAGAGCTTCCAACAAGTTACTAAGACAGGGGTTATCTTCATGTGGGCACAGCCTGAAATTCCATCAGTGCTGTCCCCACAGAAGTTCCCCTGTCTGTCTCTTCTGATTCCCCAAATGAGCTAGGAGAATTCCCACCTTCAAACACTGATGCAATAAGAGGAGAAGCAGAATTACATGGAGATACCACTGCCCATCAGTTACAATATTTCAAGTCTGTATTCAGAGACTCAAGATCCTTGACCAGGATGCCATACGAAATACCCAGAGAACAAATGCAATTCTTCCTTTCTTCTCTTTGTGGCACCATTCCCAGTCTCAGGCTTCTCAACTTCCCATCCTGGGCAGAACAATCTTCCAGTTTCTTCCAGTGCTTTTGAGGCAGAACAGCTAAAAGTTCTCCCTGCTGCAAGAGCTACACAGCTCTACCCCTAACCCAGTGACACAGGAATGGAAATGCTGGATCATCACATTGAAGTTTGTGGAAATTCAACTTTGTAGCATGTACAACAGGATAAAAGCCAAACAAAATACAAGAGGAGCTACAAAAGGCCAATAAATCCCTAGAATTTCCTCTAAGACAGCAAAATGAAGGTGATACAAGCTTACATAGCTGACTTGCTAATCCTAAGGGACCTGAGCAACTCTCCCATCTAATATTGTTCCAAAAAACTTCAGACTCAGGTAGGGATGAGGTGGTTTCAGGTCAACCTTACTTTTCCCTGCTTTCCAGCACTCTGAGCACTTCCCTGCTTATGCTACCACAGACAAGGGAGCAACTCTAAAGAGATGGATGGGATAGGAGGCTGCATCCAACNAGGGGCTGGGCGGGAGCGCATCGCTGCTCTGCGAGCAGGGCAGGTGCCGAGGACCGCGTTTCGTTGTCCGCAGAATAAAAGAACTCAGTGCATCTTTTCTGCTTTAAGCAGTCGTTCAGAGTGTTTCCAGAGCTGGCCATGTGGAGCTCTGCTGTTGAGTCTGATGTCTGTATGCAAATGTGTTCCGTGTGTTGATAAATTCTTCAGTACTTACTAGAAAGCAGAACACGATAACTGTGTTGTCAACTTCGCTCTTGTGTAAAAGTTCCCTTGTAGAAAGTCATTATTTCTTGTGATAAACACTTTACAGATCCTTCTTGGTTAGTGTACTCTTGAAGTAGAACTTCAGCACAACAGTTATCACACCCAGAAAAAGCTATTTTAAAGATAACTGACTGAAGTCTCTAAAGTAGAGCCTCACACCCTTTCACCAGCATCATTAATTAGCAGTGCCATAAGCATTCCTTTTATGCTGTCTATTGGTCACCTGTTACTTTGTCCTCAGGTGTTTTCAGTGGGCCTCATCAATACTGAAAATTAAGTTGTATTTTTTCTGTGCCCTCTATAAGTAGAGCATTTAATTGCAATCTCCACCTGCGTTTCTTCACTTTTTTTCCTTTATGGAACAACTATCATAGCTTTTCTTCACAGATGGGAAACCCATGATTGCACTCCTGAAAGTGCTCTGAAAGTTTCTTGCTGTTTGCTCAAGAGTTAGTTATTCCTATTTTCTGTCAAAGTTTCAGGCAGTGTAAAAATTAAGAGAGCTGCTGCTCTTTCAAGGTGTTTGTTGTGGTTTTCTTTTTCCCTCCAAATATTAATTTATGTTGTGCTCAGCAGCGATAGACTAATAGATCAAAATGGAAAGGACATTTTTCTCTAGGTTGCATGGGGTAATTTTAGTGCTAAAGTGTGCTTTTATTAGTGGTGATGATAAAATCTGAAGTATTGCTTCAGTATTTCAGAAATGTAGTGGCTTAAAACTCTGCTATGTGTATGCTACTTTTTTTTATTTTCTTCAAAACTGTTTTTTTTTAAATGTCTCTCTTGTTTTCTTCTAGGCCTAACATTAGAGCTCTTTTGGTTGTGAGACCAGAAGCTCAGGTGAGAGAATGCTGAAATCTTCATATATTTCTGTAAAGCTGTTATGGGATTTATTTGAAAGAGTATGGAAGTTTCTAATTGTTTTGTTTTCTTCTTTTCAGTGTGAAAACAAAGAATGTTTGAGAAAGGAGGATTAACTCAGAACAGCAAACGTGTATGCTATGGTTAGGTGGTTCCCATCCTTCGAGGATCTGTTTTCTCATCATTTGAAGCTCCTTCAGCACCAGGATAAGGGATAACGACTCTATGGATATACAGAATCCTTCACCATGGTGAAACTCGCCAACCCCCTGTACACAGAGTGGATTTTGGAGGCAATCAAAAAGGTAAAGAAGCAAAAACAGCGACCTTCAGAGGAGAGGATTTGCAATGCGGTGTCATCTTCGCACGGTTTGGACCGCAAAACTGTTCTGGAGCAGTTGGAGTTGAGTGTTAAAGATGGAACTATTTTAAAAGTCTCCAACAAGGGGCTCAACTCCTACAAGGATCCTGATAATCCTGGCAGGATAGCACTTCCCAAGCCTCGCAACCATGGCAAGTTGGATGGCAAACCAAATGTGGACTGGAATAAACTCATCAAACGGGCAATCGAGGGCTTGGCTGAGTCCGGTGGCTCATCCTTGAAGAACATTGAGCGCTTTCTGAAGGGTCAGAAAGATGTGGCTGCGTTGTTTGGGGGCAGTGCTGCCTCCATTTTTCACCAGCAATTACGATTAGCTGTCAAACGTGCTGTTGGCCATGGCAGGCTCCTTAAGGATGGACCTCTGTACCAGCTCAACACTAAAGCAACCACTAATGCTGACGGGAAGGAGAGCTTTGAGTCTCTTTCCTGTCTCCCTCCAGTGTGTCTCCTTCCCCACGAAAAGGACAAGGTAAGAAAGAGTTTTTGTGCAGTTGTTTTCTTGTGGTCGATGGAATGTGTCCATACAGAGCTGCAGTTTGAAGTTCTGATTTGATCTTGAATCGGGTGTGTTGGAAGTTATTGCTGTGTATTCAGGATCCCATTGTAGCCAGTTTTCTAAATGTGAGAGGAGATGGACTGTAATTTGTAGTTTGGATCAGAAAATTGCAGATGGGCTACTGTGGGGAATTTACAATTTACAGTACTGTGGGAAATTGCAATTTACAATATTTACACAGTTGTGGAAAACTTACAATTTACAATATTTACACTATTATGGGAAATTTGCAATATTGGATCAGAAAATTGCAGATGGGCTACTGTGGGGAATTTACAATTTACAGTACTGTGGGAAATTGCAATTTGCAATATTTACAGAACGGTGGGAAATTTGCAATTTACAATATTCACAATACTATGGGAAATTTACAATTTATAATATTTACACAATTGTGGAAAACTTACAATTTACAATATTTACACTATTATGAGAAATTTGCAATATTTACACTACTGTGGGAAATTTGCAATTTACAATATTCACAATACTATGGGAAATTTACAATTTACAATATTTACACAATTGTGGAAAACTTACAATTTACAATATTTANTTCACAGACCACTACAAAGAACAAATCCATACATTTGTAGTCAAAGCAACTTTTTTCCTTGAAGAACATGTTTCAGGTAGAATATCCTTCAGAAGGTTTGAAAAATTACTTCAGCTACATGCAGAATGAGCACAGCAGAGAACACTGCACTTCTTTACCTCAGTCACTTACCAGATATAGCCAGCTGCTGAATTTTAAACTGCAGGTTAATGGTGGGGTTTTCATCTGGCTTTGATGTCCCAGCTTGCAGGCTCACGCTCCCCTTCAGACTTGGCAGCTTCTGGGGGTTGATTTTCCCAACATCCCATGAGAGTAACTTGAAGGAGCAGAAAATGCAGCAGTGAAACTCAAATGCTGCACCTTGTAAAGAACAGTCCCCTTCCAACGACAGCTTTTAACGTTTCTCTATGAAAAATGTCTTTTTCTTAGTATCTTACCTTTCATATTGAGCAGACACAGGATTAAGGAGGGGATACCTCACTCCAAACTTTTTTTCTCCTTCTCTTTCCATGAGGCTCCCCAAAAGTCTCCTATAAATGCTATTTCTACTAATTGCAGAGTGTAAACTCATCACATTAATGTTTGCAAGAAGAAAAAAAAAAGTTCAAACAACAAAACCAGAACACCCCAAACCAAACCCAAACCATTGATCAACCCTCAGTGTTTGCAGAAGACCAACATGCAGCACTGGGCATGACCAAATAAGTTTGTAAGGCATCCACCAGATTGATTTCCCATTATACAAGATCTGTGCTTGGATTTTCTTCACACACCAAGCAGCCAGAACTAAAATTCAGACACCAAGGTATTTGTTCTGGGGATTAAGAAAACCCTAGTATGCAGGGTTTCCTTAATCCCCAGATTATTCAGAATTTATTCAGAAAACTTTTTCTGAGACCTTATTCACAAAAAGTTCTCACCCCAACATACTGCCTTCAGCAAAGCAGTGTTCATGGAATTAAGCATCAACAGGTTGACTGCATTTTCTGATAGATAAGAAAGAATTTTTTTAAAAATAATATTTAATTTCTCTCTTTCCTCTTACCTTTGTAACTGGATCAAAGGCATGTGTTCCCTGGGAGGGTGTGAGGGTCATATTTAAGACACTTTTTGGCATCTGGCTGGTGACCATCACCCCCTCTACAGTTTTCCCCATGGTCTGCTTTGGCCCCACTGTGATCTCGAAGCGTCCCAGGGAGCTGCTGTCACGAAAGCTGATGTTGTGCTTGACATAGACAGGAATTGCCACAAGGCTGAATAAAGAAACCAACAGAAAGTCCTTGTCAATCTCTCGGCTTCAGATTTGCTTAAAAGAGAAGGAAATCCTGCATTTGTATGAGGATGGAATCCTGACTTTGCTCCTTTCTCATGTCTTAATTGCACTTTTTGTAATCAAGCTTGCGGTGTCCTATTTGATCAGAAAAGGGAACTACAGCCAATAAAAGAGGAAGTGTGACCAAAAGAAATGGTTTTACGTGTCACAGCCAGGTTGGCAAGCAGTTCCTGGCAGTGCAACACCACCTGAACTTCATTTTTGTGCTTTTGGTTGCATTTGCCACTCTTTTTCACCTACTAATGACAAATCTGACAAAGATCTAGTAAAATTCTTTAGCAACTGTAACCCCAAATAGTACTTGGAAATCTGCTTCTAGAAAAGAGTGTAAACTTGGGCAAGAACTTGTGGTTCCATTGGGAGAGATGTCACAAACCTAACAGGAGCACCAAACTATCTTGTTTTATTCTAAAAAGTTAATTTAAACATATGAAATCAACACTGTCTAATTATTTTACTTTCTAGTTTGTTTATCTGCTAGCAGTCTTTGAAAAATGCTGGCTGGCCAGAAAGAAATTACAGAATCACAAGGAGAAAAAAATGTAATTTTAAAAAAAGAAAAACACAATGCACCATGCACCTCTACTTCCTTTGGCTCAATGTGCCACCTCAGCTTTAAAAGTTCCTTTTTTTATCCTCTTCCTAGCCAGAAGGATCCAAATTTCCTAACTCACAGCACCAGACTCATCACCTACTTCTGAGCACTGACATGGTAGGAGAGCAGGCGGAAATTGCCGTCAGGGGGGATGAAGGAGAGGATTCTCTCTGACTCCCAGCGCTTGAAACGCACACAGGGGTGAAAGCTGACATCATCCAGGAGCCGGGGGTTCTGGAACAGAAATCACAAAGTTTGTGAGGGCAGCACAGCTTAAAATGACCTAAAATGACTTTAAATGACCTCCCCTTCTTAGCAATCTTCTGTCCATGAAGGGCCTAGCATTTGACACACTCTTGACCACCTGAAGTTGTCTGATGCTGTTTTATCCATGTAAAAGCAGCACTCAATAATCTCTATCCTTTTCTAGGATATTTTTAATCCCATTTTAGAAAACTGAGTCATGTCACGTAATTACATTGGTACATACTCATAGAAGAGGTGGCTCTTCAGGATATCTGCTTTAAGCACCACTGTATCTCAAAAACTTACTCACAGCAGCCATCACAAACAAATCATCTGAAAAAGCCTTTTTGGGCTCCAAATTGCTGAAGTTCCTGATGATTTCCCATTGTCATTTCTTTCTCTCTTCATCCAGCACACCCTTGTTCTGATGTACATCACCACAAGATCACAATCTTAGCAGCAGGGAAATCTTAGGGCTTAAGATTAGGGCTTAGCAGCACAATCTTAGGGCTGGGAAATCCCTCTCAAAATTCTTAAGTGAAGATACATCCCTGAGCTTTACCATAAAGGACAGGGTAAGGTCTGGCATCCCAGTCAGCTTGACACAAGCATCAATCACTCCTTGGATTTCAGCAGTAATAGTGGAACCTGGAACAATAAGGAAAACACAGCTGGGTTTGTGAAGCTGATCAAAAACATCCCAAAGTGGAAAAACTATGAGTGAAAAGGAAGGAAATGTATTTTCTTAATGAAGCCTGCTCAACATTTGTATCATTCCCCATGACTCCTCTAGAAGATTCATTCAGAAAGATCATGGACACCACCAATGTCCATTTTAATGGCCAATGACAACAGCTCCCAGTTGTAACAAGACTAAGAAGCACAAACACTAAAGATAAAGTGCTGTGCACAGTTTTTACTCATCTTCTATTTTCCCAATACAGAATTGCTTATGAGACCTCAAGAATGAAAACCCTGGTGCCTCTGTAAGATTTTTGACTGAATAGCACACACAATTTAGCATCAATCCAGAGCAAAAATAGGAGCAGAGCTTCCCACACTTGGATGAAGGTGCACCTATTTCAAAACCTAACTCTCTCTTCAGCCACTAGGAATTCTTAACCAGGAGCAAGTTCCATACCTGATTTGTCAATGATTGCATCAATCTCCTCAACCACATCAAAATAGGCCTCATTGTTGGTGTATTTGACACCAGTACGTCTCCAGGGCACCACTGAGAGCTGTCCAGTGGGAAGCTGGTCACCCACATTTGTGCTTCCTGGAAAAAGAAAGGGAATCAACACCCCAGAATTAGGCAATGCTGCAGAGCAAGTCCCTGGCTTTGTTGAGCTTAATTGTAATTAATCCCCAAAAACCTCTGGTTTTTTTTGTAGGAAATTACTCTTCCATTTACTCTCCAGACTCCCAGTACTCCAAAAATTTACATCTCTCTTACACCCAGCTCTAAAATATATCACAGTAATGCATGGGAAAATGTCTGCACATGGGGATGGGTAAACTCACAGGAAACTAACTCATCCTAGAAGTCATGTCATGTCTAACTGAAAATGTAATCTGACTTTTTAGGTTAAAATACCCCAAATCAGACCAAAACCAAAGTGCAGCTGGTGCTGAAATTGGAAGGAACCTCAGAGCAAAGCACTAACACATGACTCCCTAAACACACCTGTGCTGCATGAATAAATTTTCTTCTCCCATGTCCTAATTACACAGGAATATTTCCACCTGGAGCCCCCAGTTTCTCTTCTTCTTGTTTCCCTGTACCTGTGATGGTGTTGACGACTGTTCTCAGAATAGTGGGAGGTTTTATCAGCTCCTTCAGAATATTGGACTCTGTTGCCAATGGAAAACCGTTGTCCAGCATCTCCTCCAGCACCTCATAAACCACCACAACATTGTCCTTGATTATCACCTCTGAACAGACACCAAAATAATCCTGTGCAAAAGAAAGGATTATTCAATGATCTCTGAAAGAGAATCTTAGTGAACATCAGTGAACACAGGAATAAATCAAGTCTCTTCTTGTAAAAAACCACTGAAACTCCCTGTATTACTACAAGCACAGCAGACACACACAACTCTGAGCACACTTTGGCCACTGCTCCAGTGAGGTGGCAAATTCCCCCATCAGCTGTCCCAACTAATTCAGCAATTTTTAAAATTGAACACTTAATTTACTTACTGTCTTATTCTATGTGAATTTCAAGCATCTTCCAGGAGAGAGCAAGTGCACAAACAGAAACCTGAGCTTCTAGTTACTTACAGCAATTAAATGAGATTTTGCATAATGAATGAGTATATTTATGCTGTGACAGTAGAGAAATTCTAATTCTGCATTACAAACACTCGTTTTCAGACATACTAGATTTTAATATAATTTTTTTACGAGGGTATGAGTGACAACACACTCATACCCTCATAAAAAAAGACCAAAGGGTCTGACACGATCCACTGCTGGCTTAAATGGCCAATCCACTTCTGAAAGTGAGAGAAAAATAACTCAGCACACAGTCTGAGCTACAGGTTCTGACTGACATCTTGGAAGCAGAAGCTCCCATGACACTCGTTTGGCCAAGCACACACATTTCCTGCATGCTGGCAACACGCTGGTCACAAGACATTTCAAAGGCAGACAACACAGCCCTGTTGTTGGCAGGAGGAAGAACAGACAGACATCTTTGCTGTTTTCCTAAACTGATCAGGAGATGTGTCAACCATGGCACAGAGGGAATGCAGCTCCTCTGGGGCAACTCCTGCAATTCACTGCTTTAGGAAGCTATTCAGAAGCATTGCTAGGTGTAAACGCACAGGTAGGTTGTCGCTAATTGATTAAAAAGCAAAAGCTCCTTATGAGAACAAGGCCAGCTTGGTATTAGTTCACACTTCCCAGAGCAGACAAGGCTGCAAAATGGAAATACTGATTTATGATTTATGGGCACAGGTAGATCCCGAATCCATCTTGGGCAGTAAATTCCCAACTACAACAAGCCCTGTCCACATCCTCACAAACGCAGGATGAAAATTACATTATAAGAAACAAAAAACCCCCTAAGAGGTGCAAACCAGAGGGGTTCATTGCCGAGGCTCCCGAGGGTCCCACAGCCCTCGGCCATACCTGGAAGGTGTCCACGACTCGGTGCAGGAATTCGATGACGAAGAGCGGCGGCACCTCGCTCTGGATGACGGCCACGAAGAAAATCTTGTGCCGGTAGACGCTGAGGAGGTAATGGTGAGGCGTGGGGATCACCGGCGGCACGTTCTCCGCCTCCGAGGCCCGCTCCTGCGCCTCAAAGAAATAATCACAGACGGAGCGGCTAACCACGCTCTTCCAGTGCTTCTCCAGGAAGATGTCCCCCGAGGCGTTGATGAGGAACAGGCTGTGGATCATGGTTGC